TGTGCGGGGCGCGGGGGTTCGCGCGGGGCTGCCCGCAGCGCTGCTGGGGACGTGCTGGCCGGTCGGCAGCCAAAAACACGTATGTGCCTGTATCTATGTATGTGTGAGTGCGTGTGCCCGTTTACATACCCGTATATATACCCGCCTATGCTGTTTTTATCTCTTACCCTCCCTGCTTTTGTTTATGTTCTCTTTCTTTTTTCTTTCCCGTGGGCTGGAGGGTGTCAGTGCGGAGGCGCTGCCCGGGTTGGTGGTTTGTTCGTGTTTATTAGGGTTTTCTTCTGCCTGTTGGTTTATTTATTTCCGCGGTGTTCCTCGGCGGCGCGCGCGGTGCGGAGCTGGGCGCGCAGAGGCGGCTCCCGAGGAACCCCCGGAGGGTCTTGCGGGAGCAGCGGCGAGATTTTATCTAGTTTTATTTATTTTATTTTTTCCCCCTTATTTCCGAGCCTCTGCGAGGGCTGGGGGTGGGTCGAGGCGTTTCTGACCACGCGACTTCATTTTGCTGAATAATGTCCTGGAGGGGGCAGCTTTTGGGCATACTCGTCCCCTTTGGGTCTTGAAACAGCCGAGTTCCCCCTGCGCGTTTGGTGGTTTAACTTTTTTCCCTCTCCCTTCTTCTTTTTAACACGACTCCTTTAGGGCCGACCTGTTAATATTTGCTGTTGCTTAGGGGAAAGAAATCTACTTTGGAAGTGTTACTTTGAATCTCCTAAAGGAAATATAAACATGTGTCTCATGTCCTTTCTGAAAGGGTATTGTTTAAGATGAAAAAACAGGTTTTGCTCACTTTCTGTTTTCGCAGGGAGTTACATGTTTATGTAAATGTTATGTGCTGGCTTTCAGACAATGCAAGGGGGAGGAGGGGGCTCAGATCAAAACAAGAAAAACACAGAAACTCTTCTTAAACTGAACCTCGTATAAGGAGCACTGGCAGTTTGTGAATTCATGAAAGTCTGTTGCAACACCTAGGGTTTTTCTTAAAGCTAAGCATAAATTTATTAGGAAATTTTGTCCCATGGCTTAGTATAGTACAGAAGCTTCTTATTAGAATTCATTAAATGGTCTCTCAAACTTCTTTGATCTTCAAAGCCAAGAATAGTCTGATGAATGGCTGATAGAGCTGCCACGCTGGCTCTTTCAAAACTTAAGGAAAAGTTTTAATTCTGAATTTGTCACATCTCTTCCTCCACCTCTGTACTTTCTACCACATTTAATTAACTTTTTTGCCATGTGGCCATCTCAAAAAGTGATTCATGGCATAAAAAAGGAGGGATAGATAAGTATTGGTTTTATTCTTAAAGCCTGGCTTTTGATAATTAACATATCTAGGGAAAAAAAAGTGTGCATTTATTTTATTGTATTTCCTCTTTTCCTCCACCAGTTGTATAGGTGTAGAGTGGAAAAAAGCAGTGTACCAAGTTTAAGGATTGTTCCTTAGACTAGTTAAAAACAGTAGGTGAAGTAATTTCACTGAGTTCAGCTGGTGCCAGTTTAGACCAGCGATCTTTAATTTGTGTGTTTAGGTCTGGCCGGTATCAGGGGAATGGAGGCAGGTGCTCGCAAGCAAGCGCATGCTTACATGGTTTGCTGCGATAAGTGCGTGTTTATGGGATAGGCTTTAAAAAAGTGTCTCTTGTGTAGCCTGCATGCCGTTAAGGAAGACTTCTGTGTTTTCCTTTGGGGACCAGCAGGATGAGCTAGAAGCCATGAACCTGCTCTGTCGGTGGCTCGCGTAGCGTGGTGCACGTAGCACTTGCTTCTCGTCTCCATCGGCTCCGTGCGCTCACCATCTGCGCGCCCCAGCGCGCCGCGTGCTCCGCATCCTGCGGGAGCTGCAGGCGGGAGCTGTCTGGTGCCGAGAGCATGAGCACAGCCTGGCGCCGTGCCGGCCGCGTGTGCCCTGGTGGTTCCTTGAGCGTGTGCCTCGGGTCGTTACGCGGTGCTGCGGTGTGCGCTTGCGTGCTGCTGGAGCTGGAAGGACAGCGTCACCGCTCGGACGGAACAAAATACACGTGCCAAGTAAACAAAAATGAACTAAATAAAGTAGTGTGCTTTGAAGCATAGAGATGAGAGGTTTGAGGTATGGTAGAAATATTTAAAATGCCGCAAAGATTATCAGCAAATGAAAAAATCTGCCCAAGATAAATTCAGTAAGATGCTTTTCTAAAATAAGTGCCGCTGACAATGCTGGGGGGGTATTGAGAAGAGGCAACCTGGTACCTTCCCTGCCACTCAGTGTTATGTGACCATTTCTCATCTGCTGGGTGTAATTTGTGATTGAATCCATCTTGTGCTGTGTTGCTTGCTGTGGGCTGCAACCACTGACACTGTGAATTTATCTTCCCTAAATAGATCAAGTGTCTAGTTTGTCATCGCAGGTTCCTGCTGTGGTTATGAGATCATGTATCTTGTCTTATTCTTCACTTTTGTACAACCCAGAAACAACTCTTTTTTTCTTCTTTGGGGCAAGCAACTACAGCTACTCTTGCTGTGAGCTGGAAGCCCAAATATCTTTGCCTTCCCTCTTTATTCTCCAGTTGTGAACTAGAAAATTTGAACCTGTTGCAAGGTACATGTCTACCATTTTCCTGTTAACTAGTTTTGCAGCAAGGAGGAGGAGTTCTTATTTGTAAGCAACAAGGTAGGAGAAAGCTGCAGATACTAGAAGTGTCCTTGTGTGTCTCTGCCATCAACCAGGTGTGCTTGCTTTTTGTATTTTAGAATACAATTTTTTTACACTTCAGAGTAATTGCAGGCCAATGTTAACTTCTTCAGTGTTTCACAGCAATGACCTGCAATGACCCTCATATCTTGTCAAGGTATGAGAAGTTCTCTGTAAAATCTTGCTTGTGATATTGTATATGTGCATGCTCACGTAAAGCAAGTGTGCTGTCTAATTAACAATGCTTATTTATATAGTTAGCTTGGTCTTTGAAATTCATGTCATATGGTATTACGTACCACTCAGCCCCTTGGGTTTTGTACTCCTTGTTTTTGATGTTACTCTTATTACTGCAGTATTTGAAGTTCTGTAGAAAGTGATATTCACTTAAAGTGTCTCTTTGAGCTGGAGGAACATCCTTATTACAAAGAGCAGTGCTGAGGCATAAAGGATGAAAGATTCACCTAATCTTGTGTAAGAAGCATGTGTCTACTGGTCGTGGTCCAGTGTTAGTAAGATTTTTATCCTCTCTTAGTAGAGAATATTTCACTGTGAATCATAAAACTTGTCCTATGAATGAAGCACTAGTGATCGGGAATCTGATTCCGCTTGGTTTGTAGTACTTTTGTACATAATTCCTGAGCTACAGTTTTCTGCCTCTAATATAAATTAGGGGACTCATTTCAGCCCTTTGACTAAAGCTGTAAGTGGGTGGATTGGAATGATCCTAAGTGAGATGGTCACAAATACGGAGATGGTTTGATTGCACAAGTAGTTAAATTTGAGTACTCTTCCACAGTACAATTGTAGCTGTAATTTCAAAATGCAGTTATTAAAGCATGTCTGCAAGTCCAGAAACACAAGGCCCTATCATTTGAACAGAAGGAAACTGCTAGCAATCAAGTTTGTAGTAGTTTGATGAGCAGTGTAACTGAGTGGGATATTGCCTTCAGCACCACCAAAGCTGACTTAAAATACCACCACTGTTGTGGCAATTTGTCACTTTTTTGGCTTTGGATGAACAAGAGTTGGTGAGCCTGTGTGGTAAAATTGGATCATGGAAATGATCTGGGATAAAAATAACTTTGCAAGAACAAAGCAAAAAAAAAAAAAAAAAAGTAGAAGGAAGCTGGTTTCAGCAGAGTCTTTCACTGAAGCATTTTGCTGATACGATCATTTATAGGATTATGCTGTGAAACCGAGAGGATAAGTGAACTGCATTGGGGAAGTGACAGTAGGAGATGGAGGCCTTTTAGCTTCTTCTGCTCTTGAGAAAACCATAGTGAGATTGCTGTCAGTGTCTCCTTGTCGAGGCCAAGAGAGGAAAAC